GGCCGGGGCTGCTCGCGCCGAGGACCCGGCCCGCGGTGGACGCCGCCTGACGGTCGCCGCTCGCCCCGTCCGCGCGGTCCGGCCGCGCCGACGGGCCCATGTCGCCGGCGGAGATCCACAACAAGACGCTGGAGCAGGACTCGCGGGTGAAAAAGATCGACGTGAAGAGCGAGTACACGCTGGGTAGAGTATTGGGCAAGGGCGCCTTCGCGAAGGTGCACATCGGGCGCCTCATCAAGAACAGCAAGGTCGAGCGCGCCGTCAAGGTCGTCGACCTCAAGGCGCTCAACACTTCGGACGTCGAGGCGCTCGACTGCGAGATCAAGACGATGCGGCGCGTGCAGCACCACAACATCGTCAGCCTCTACGACTGCTACCTCTACCACGACAAGTTCATCATGGTGCTCGAGCTCTGCAAGGGCGGCGAGCTTTTCGATCGAATCGTCTCCAAGGAGCACTACAGCGAGAAGGAGGCGCGGTCCTGCTTCGCGCAGATGGTCGAGGCCATCGGCCACTGCCATTTGCACGAGGTCGTGCACCGCGACCTCAAGCCCGAGAATTTGCTGTACCAGGACCGCGTGGGCACGCCGAACGCGGACGTGCTGAAGTTGGCGGATTTCGGGCTCGCGAGCCTCCTGTCGCCGGACCACCACCTGTCGACGGCGTGCGGCACGCCGGGCTACGTGTCGCCGGAGATCCTGACGGCGTCCAAGGGCAAGGGCTACGGCAAGGAGTGCGACCTCTGGTCCCTGGGCGTCATCCTCTACATCCTGCTCTGCGGCTACCCGCCGTTCTACGACGAGAACAACAACAACGCGGTCATCTTCAAGCAGATCAAGGCGGGCGCGTTCGCCTTCGCGGACCCCTACTGGACCGACATCTCCCAGGAGGCCAAGGACCTGGTGACGGCCTGCCTCACGGTGGACCCGGAGAAGCGCGTCACGTGCGAGGGCGTCTTCAACAGGGCAGGACAAGAGAGCGAAATTCCCAACTTCAAAGGCTCATATCTCGGCCGTTTTCCACTCGTTTCGGCTGATTTTTGGACGAGCGATCATCTCTCGGAGCGGTCTCGACGCGTGGCCGCTTTTTCCGGAACGCGCGCGCGCGGAACACTCAAGTTGAAGCGACGTTGAATCACCCTTGTCCTGCCCAGGTCTTCAAGAGCGCGTGGATGGCCAACGACGCGACCGCGTCCGCGCTCCACATCGGCCACTTCAGCGACAACATGAAGAAGTACAACCTGCGACGAAAGTTCAAGGGCGCCGTCCTCGGCATCATGGCCGGCCGCCGCGTCTCCGCCATGTTCAAGGCGTCGCCGGACCTCGCGCCCCCGGACGTCGCGCCGCCGCGCGCGACGATGTAGCCGCGCCGGGCCGCCGGCGTCCGGCGCCCCGCCGGACCGCTTCCCCCGCCTCCCCCGCGCACGGCGCGCGCCGCCCCCCCCCTATCCCCCGCTTTACTACGTCGCGCGCGCGAGCGACCCTGGACAAGTGCGGCCGTGGCGTCGGAGGTCGGCGGCGGCCCCCGCCGGCCGCGGCGCCGGCGCCTGCCACGGCGAGTCCTCGTCCCACAGCCGCGCGCACGCCCACCATGGCGCTCGAGCTCAAGCCGCGGGAGAACATGGCGCTGACGCTCGCGGACAGCTTCCTCAACGACCTCGACGAGCTCGAGGACGACGGGCCCGGCGCCCCGGCGCCCGCGGAGGGCGGGGCCGCGGACGACCTTGAGGCGGACCTCGACGACCTCGACGACATGGGCGACGACGAGAGCGACGACGGCGGCGAGGAGAACCTGGACGCGGTGCTCGCGGGCCTGGCCGCGCCCGCCGGCGGCGGCGTCGCGGCGCTCGCGCGGCTCTCGGCGTCGGACCGGTACCGGCGCCACGTGTCCGCGATCGAGACGTTCGCCGCGCGCGAGGCGGAGCCCGGGTCCATCGGCGTCGGCGACGACGACGCGGAGTACGTGCTCATCGTCGAGTCCAACGAGATCCTCATCAAGATCGACGCGGAGGTCCACCAGCTCCACCGCTACGTCAACGACGTCTACGCGAAAAAATTCCCCGAGCTCGACACGCTCGTGCCGTCGAAGATGGAGTACATGCGCGTCGTCGACCGCATGCGCAACGAGATGGACATGACCGCCGTGGATTTGAGCGACGTGCTCCCCCCGACGGTCGTCATGGTCGTCTCGGTCACGGGGTCGACGACGTCGGGCCAGCCGCTCGGCGCGGGCGAGCTCGACGAGTGCGTCGCGGGCTGCGCGGAGTGCTTCCGGCTCGAGCGCGACAAGGGGACGATCCTCTCCTACCTCGAGAGCCGCATGTCCGTGCTCGCGCCGAACCTCACGCGGCTCGTCGGGTCGTCGCTCGCGGCGATGTTGGTGGGCATGGCCGGCGGCCTCGAGAAGCTCGCGCACGTGCCCGCGTGCAACCTGACGGTCATGGGCCAGGAGAAGCGCCACCTCGCGGGCTTCGGCATGACCGCGGGCCTGCCCCACACGGGCGTGCTCTACTTCTCGGACCTCGTGCAGGCCGCGCCGCCCGCGCTCCGCCGCAAGGCCCTCAAGATCGTCGCCGCGAAGTCGTCGCTCGCCGTGCGCCTCGACGCCTTCGGCAACCGGCACGACGGCGACGTCGCCGCCGCCGACGGCTGGCGCGACGAGATCGCGGCGAAGATCGAGAAGGCCTGCGAGCCGCCCAAGGCCCAGAAGGTCAAGGCGCTGCCGCCGCCGGACATCATGACGGGCAAGAAGAAGCGCGGCGGCCGCCGCGTGCGCAACGCCAAGGAGAAGACGCGGTCCACGGAGCTGCGCACGCAGATGAACAAGCGCGCCTTCGCCCACAACCTCGGCGCCGAGTACGGCGACGACTCCATGGGCCTCGACTTTGGCATGGTCGGCCGCGAGGGCGGCAAGATGCGGTCCTCGACGAAGAAGGAGAAGCAGGTCAAGGTGTCGGCGAAGCGCCGCAAGATGATCCAGATGTCCTCGGGCGCGACCAACGGCCTCAGCTCGTCCCTCGTCTTCACGCCCGTCCAGGGCATCGAGCTCGCGAACCCGGAGGCCGACGGCGCGCGCGTCGCCGCGGCCAACGAGAAGTGGTTCGCCCAGTCCTCGGGCTTCCAGTCCGCGCTCCCCCAGTCCAAGCCGGGCCTCTTCGGCTGAGGTGGCGGCGGACGCGGGGGCGGCGTCGCGCGCGCGGCTCCGTGATGCTCCATCGGACACTGCGCGTAAACTCCGTCGGCGGTCCCGATACTGCGTCTAACTAGTCGCGGTGCTCCATCTTGTGCGCGCGCATGGCGGGGAGGAGCTGGGGGGAATTAAACAAAAAACAACCAAAATTTGTCCATATCCAACTCCAAGGATATAGTTCCCTAATCGCCGCCGCCGCGCGAGACGACCACCTCCCCGGCGCGGACGGAGAGCTCATTCTCGTCCTGGGCGGAGAAATCATCGAGGACCTCGTACCATTGCTGGACGGGCACGGACGCCGCCAGCTCTGCCGCAGGCGCGACCCGGGCCATCAAAAGTGGCTTACATGCCCAAGCTCAGCGCTGGCAATGTGCAGGAAGGCTCTTTGATTGCACCAATGTTTCCCACTGCTTGAACCAGCCCGTGTGCTGCCTCGTTCGCGCTGCAGCTGCGCTGCGACACACACACGCACAAAACCATGCGCATCTGCGTCTACGCGAGCTCGTCGACACGGACGAGCGACCGCTTCATGGCCGCGGGCCGCGCGCTCGGCGCGGCCATCGCCGCGGGCGGCCACGTGCTGGTCAACGGCGGCGGCCGGGCCGGCGGCATGGGCGCGCTCAACGAGGGCTGCCGCGCGGCCGGCGGGCGCATCGTCTGCGTCATCCACGAGCGCTTCGTCGTCGACGGCGAGGAGTTCGCCGGCGCGGAGAAGATGGTCGTCGCGGGCGGCGACGACCTCGGCGAGCGGAAGCGGCTCCTCGTGGAGCACTGCGACGCGCTGATCGTCATGCCCGGCGGCGTCGGCACGCTCGACGAGCTCTGGGACGCCGCGTCGCTCCAGCAGCTCGGCTTCAAGACGTCGCGGCCCGTCGTGCTGGTGAATCTGGACGGCTACTACGACGCGACGCTCGCGCAGCTCCGGCGCGCGCACGACGAGGGCCTCACGTCGAAGCCGCCCGCCGAGATCCTCCACGCCGTGCCCGACGTCGGCGCCGCCCTCGCCTGGTGCGAGGCGCAGCAGACCGCCGACGCCTACACCGCCGGGCATCGCGCGTTCGCGCGCGACGCGCCGCCGAAGCCCCTCCCCTGCTTCGCCGCGGGCCTCGCCTGCGGCGCCGCCCTCGCGGCGCTCCTGCTCCTCGGGCGCCGGCCCTAGGGACGCCCTCTTTTCGCCTTCTCACCGCGCGCGGCGCGCGCTCGGAGGCCGTTTGTGCTTCGCTCCGAGCGAGCGCGACCGCCCCGGGAACGGGGGAGGCGCCCACACGACGCGAGGAGCCACCAGGACATATAGAAAATAGTCAAGCTATGAAAACCAGAGTAGCGATCTTTTGTCCGAGACGCACCATTTCTCAAAATGC